TACTGGGCCTATATTTTCCCAGATTTGCAGATATGTCCCTCACGAATTTCCTTACAGGTAGGTCTCTCGGTCAGCCCTCAGCCAAACAAAATTGCGAATCTCGCCTATGGGGGAAGGCCGCCTGTGGCGATTTGCTTGTTCAACCATAGCCTTTTGGGCTCTGAACAAGTTCACGCGGGCTCTTTCCGCATCTAGACGATAGCGTCTGGTGAACTTTGTTGTGCCTGGTGTCAGATCAGGCTTAGCCTTATCGATGATGTCATCGAGAGGCTGTCGTGGTTCACGTCCCCAGTGTAACCGGTAGGGACTGAACCCTGTCGAGGAGTGGACAGACATGTTATACATGAGTTGTGCCCTAGCCAAGTGAAGATCCCAGTCCTGCTGATCTGGGGAGATGACAGGACGCAACAATCGGAATAAGACTTGGTTCATCACCTCAGCCTGACCATTGGCTTCAGGATGATGACCAGAAGTCGTGTCCAATCGTGAGTGCAGGTAATCCTTACAATAGGACTGCCACTCATCACTGCAAAATCTGGGGTCTCTGTCACTGGCTATAGAAGTGGGCGGTCCATGGTGAGTGACCCACTTCTCAGAAAAGGTTGCTCTCACAGCCGGAACCCTAGCTACCTCTGGCAAGGGGATGAACTCTGCGTATTTGGAGAACTTGTCCACACAGACCATAACCTCACGCATGCCACGAGGGGTGGTCTTGCCTAAATCTGTGAAGTCTATCGCCACAGATTCAGCAGGGCCATCAGGTATGGGTAAGGGGTTGAGCAGTCCCAAAGGAGGTCTACGATGGACCTTATTCCTTTGGCAGAGCTCGCAGTGTCCACATAATGCAGCATATCACTCCGCATCTCCTTCCAGAAGAAGCGCTGCGACAGGGCTGCATATGACTTTAGGAACCCAAAATGTCCATGGGCATCATGACACTCTGACATCAGTAGTGTCCTGAGCCGCTGGTCCTCGGGAATGCACAAGCGTTCCTCACCTCTACTGTACGTATACAGTAGGTGTGAACTCAGAGCATAGCCTGGTTCAGAGTTAGGATTTGCTTGCAGATTCCTAACTATGGGTCCGAAAGTTGGGTCCTGAGGCAGTAGACGAGCAACGGTCTGACGGGTCTCCTCTCCAAAGGAGTGAGTAGAGGAGATCAACGCAAAAGAGTCAGAGGGCATGTGCTACCTTATTGTAGCAGCCCTTCTTGCGCTTCAGTTCAAAGTCAAACATGTCTATGAACTCAATGTACCGTGCCAGTTTGTCGTTCAACTGTCCTTGGGACTTCATCCACTGCAGGGTGGAGTGATCTGAGAAGATCTTGAAGTGCCTTCCCAGGAGAAAGTGCTTCCAATGTTTCAGGGCACAGACAAGAGCATATAGCTCTTTCTTGTAGGTAGAGTCCTGGAGCTTTTGAGTCTTGATCTTCTTACTCATAAACTCTACAGGCCGTAGACCATTCCCATCATCCTGCTGAAGAACTGCTCCAATGCCATACTGACTGGCGTCAGTGGTCAGGATGAATGGCAAAGTGGGGTCAGGTAACTTCAGCAC